CAATAAGCGAATTCGTAGACAGATGTGCGTACTTTGCGGTATTTATTCCGTACAATAATGATTCAGTTACAAAAATAACTCTTCTTTTTCATTTGTAGATGGTTTAAAAAAATATCGAAGTTCACGAGTTGGAAAGATAATGGCACAGACTAGACTACCGTATCGATTTTCCAAATTCATTATTGTCTAGCATATGCTTTATACTAGTAAACACTATATACGTATTTACAGTGATCCCCATTTCGATACCGTGGTATACACGTTTATTGTTAACGCCTAAATAGTAAAAAAGGGTTTCTACAGTAACGAAAGCATCACATCTATAGCTATTTTATGTGACTCGTTTTGACACTTTCATGGCATTCTTAATTTGAAACGACAAATTATTCCCAGAATCGTAGTATAGTATTTTTCATACTTTACAACTGACACACGCGTTGCGACTCAACTGAAAATAGTGAATGTGAATGTAGTCTCTTTGACGTAAAAAAACATATAGAATATTCCGAACTCGTATACTGTTACGTAATATAACAAACCAACCCAAGATACATCGCACGGATTATCATTATATTCATTGCCATAAATGCATGTCTCTGTATTTCCTCATTGATTGGATACAAACAAATGAAGCAGCAATCCACGACATATTTTGTTAAAGAAATACAGATCATATATTGTAACATTTCTATTGATAATTCTTAGAAATTAAGTGATAGAAATGTAAATCATGTATCAAAGAAAATAAATAATAACTAAGTATTTACCAGGTACTTTAGTAATGGTAAATGTAGAGTTTTAGCAATTAGAGATCAACGCGCAGCATATAATTCATATAAGGTAAAACAAAAGCAAACAACTCTAAGGTTGCTATAACTGGAAATATTTCTTATCTAGTCTTGTGACAACAAGGAAGTAACCGAATGTGACAGTAAATACTGGTTTTACTAAAAACTGCTAGGACTATCGTAAATTGTGTGCTTAAATAATACACAGCTAATGCACTATCGCCATAAATCTACAATATCGTAATATTAAATAGCAGTTGTCGTCACGCCGCGTATGTACGATATTGATTATCCCACAATCCATTGTTAAATCGGAATGTACTAGTACGAGTTTTGAACTGGGCGCAATGTGCACTAATTACCACCGATGATGACTCAGTTTGTACTTGTTTATATAAAACGCACAATAATAAATGTCCCAGAAAATATGTGTCAGTCCGACTAAAACCAACGTAATGCGGGTGGTCGGACTTTTCTACACAGAATAATATTAGGTTTAGTTGAAATCCCAACAAGTCGTTATGCTGGAAATAGCTTCATTCAACACAACGGCAACACCAGACTGAAATGTCTACCCACCAATCCACACAAACACAACTTTCGGATACAACTAAATTTCGACTGCTACTTGAATATCACAACATCCATAATCAATTTCACTCAGGTTTAGGATAAAATACAGGAGAATTGACCTGTCCACGCAGACGAAATTAATTTGACTATTACACATCAAACCGCCATGCTGACTGCCCGGAGCCATGCAGACTTATTAATAAACAAAGTCATTCTAACACCATACTTAGATGGCGCTCTCACTATTACCTGTTATATAGACAAACGAAAGAGTTGATCAAGCATCTAATGAAATGTAGCAGAGATATGTCAAATATGGATTTAATTATGTTGGATAAATATTTTGCTAATAATAAAAGATACAGACAAACAAATATAGGCTCTGATACTTCTAAATATTCATCTAATATTATTTTCAGTAATATGATATCCTTCGATATGTTTGACTGTCAGCATTCTTTATTCTATGTTTTTGTCATATTATCTCAAACCCTGCAAATAGAAGTGTGCATGGAATCATGGGAATAAACGGTGTGCATTGCCGTGTGATAACTGTCATAAAGGTGATTGACAGGTCATACTTGTTTACCACTCTGGAAGGACAATATGAATCTACCTGGTGTGCTTGTGATTTACATAATGTGACCCATGGTAGATTGCTTTCAGAGTTTTATGCAACTATTCATATTATCTTGATGTAAATGGGTTATCATTAAATGTGTAAATAAATAAATAAATAATAAAAGATGTTCTCTGTGTGTTGCTTCTGCTATCAGCAGTGTCCTCCAGATTAACAGCGTCCAGTGTGAGTTCTGTGGGTTCCCCTCTCAATAGCAATAAGCAGACATTTTGTTTCAGTATTGATACCGATTTTGTTTCACTATCAATTTGTCAATAATCCCCTGACTAAATTGACTGTTTTGTAACTGCTTAAGGCCCAGAGAACACGGTGTTTTCAGACCAGTTTGTACTGCTAGGTAGACATTAAATTGCTGTATTTAATACTACTGGAACTTGAATAACACTTTCTCAGCATGGATATTGTTATTGAACGTAAATAGTTAGGTAGATAATTGGGGTATTAAAGGGAAGAGCTGACTCAATTTGTGAGGCCAGAGCGTGCGAAGAGAGAGTATGAGAAGAGAGAAAACGAGCGTGAGGAGAGGGATGAGAGAGCAGCCAAACGTGAGGCTGAAACGTGAGGAAAGAGAAGAAGAACATGAAGCAATAGAGAAAGAGAAAGTAAGACAGCATGAAGCTTGGAGTGTTGAGGTTGCGTGCAGAAGCTTATGGTCAAAATGGAGGCGTAGAACACTTGGCGCAGACCATTATTATTTCTAGGGTCCAAAGCTACCATTGTTTGATGAGACTAGGGACGAGATGGACGCATTTATTTTAAAGTTTGAGCAATTTTCTGCAACTCAGAAATGGCCACGTGACAGTTGGGATATGAATCTTAGTGCATTATTGACAGGCAAAGCTTTGTATTTGTTTTCTGCATTGTCTGCAGCAGAGTCAACGATTATCACCCCAATTTGATAGAATTGAAGGAAAGATTGAGCTTGAGATTTATTTCAGAGAGTCGTTGACGGAGACCGTCTTGATTTATGCTGAATAGAACAGCATTATCGAGATTGACAGAAACAGCAAGGTGACATATTTCTAGCTGTGATGGATATGAATCAACTGTATCGTAGTCTGTCAACTAATCCGTAAATAAAAAAATGCGTTCTTTGGCCTAAAATTAGACTGTTGGCGTATCCCGCAGCATTCGTATCAAACACAGATGACAGTAGCGGGGTGGAACGCATTGGGTCGCTTTATATCTGGAGCACCCCTACCATGAAGAATATTTTGACTCATTCAGTAGTCCGCCAATTACACGGAATTTAAGAGATTTCTCAAAAGACACGTTCGTATGTGCAACAACAAAACCATGGTATCATTCGTAGGAGTGTGGTCAATACGTCCTGAATTACTTTTTGTGCGGATTTCGACGCATTAAAAGTAAAATTATGTGCGTGTGTATGTGAGCGACATCTACTGTTCAGTTCTTGTCGGGTGTGACTTCATAATTGATTCGCGACATCATACGTTTAGGAAAAAAATAATGAAAAAATGAACGAGTCTAATTAATGCTAATTTATTCGTTACTTCATAGTTATTCAATCGTACATATAGTGTCATATTAACTACTAGCAAATATGATATATTCCGAGCACAGTCTGTCCCTTTCATTTCATTACCCGTCACCACTATATTAATTATGCTGCTGAGATAAAATTTCAAACATTAATTGGCTACAATGTTATACAAATAAACACACAGTTCGAGATTGTGAAGACAAGTGGTAGGATATATATGAGTATGTTAAGAAGTAATACCCTTTTCGGTTTATCAATAACAGTATCGAGGGTTATGACTCAGTTGAAACAAGCATTGAGAATTTGGATACGATAGATTATTTAAAGAATTGTCCAAATTGCAATATAATACACTACACTATGAAACACCACAGCATAAATATTGCAGTCAAATTATTGAAATACAATGTTTTGTTATCGTTGTCATAAACTAATTGACCATATAATCAGCTTTGGTTCAAGTAGGTGATTGTATATTCAAGACTGTAACTAATCTAACCTGTATCTTATGTAATCAACACAAACTATATTCATTCTTTGCCTGTTTGAAATTTAATGTATTTGTGCATGCGTTTCATTTTAACCCTCCAGCCCTATTTTATATTAATTGACAACCAAATCATTTCTACTTAGAGCCTATAATATCACATTCAGTAGCATCAAATATGACCTCATCACCAACAACCTCGCAGCACTTGTCTTTCAAGAAAGACAGTAGGGTTATGATTTCATCTTTAGGCACCGATTTTCTAAAATCTAATTTCTGATGAAAAAAATCTAGCAATTTATTTCCATCGTCAGAGGTCTCGTCAAAACATTTTGTGGCAGTAATTGGTACATATCGTTTGATATTTTTGACGACCGCTAATTTTGATTCATGTCTCAGGAACTCCTCTACCATTGTTGCTCCAAGTAGGTTTTTATTTGGGTCATACAAATATCTCCTGAAGTTCCTTCTACATTTCTCCCATCCTCCTGTATAAAAAAATAGAAAGTTATTTCATGGAAATATTATGAACACGATTGATATTGTGACCAACATTGAACATTCACATTTACATTGTGATTGTTATGCAAATATAGAACAATGAGTAGAGTTAAAAAAAATCCTGAAGTGAAGTCCAAACATTAGACTTGCTTGCAGTCTGTTGCGATTCCGATGAAAAATTCTTGAAAACTTACAAGCCCGAATCTGGCCGGTGATGTGAGGGCAGTTACACTCCTTGCAAGTCTGCTGGGATTTCGGGATTTTTTCAAGAGTTCATCTCAATCGCAACAGACTGAATTCAAGTCTATCCCAACACGAGAGTGACCAGGTGTAAACATGACAATTGTTTAATAATGTGACGGTATTAATGCTAACGGAACTGGTCACTATTCATTATAAACCAAACAACATGCTTGTATGAGAAACGTTGGAGTTAATTAGTTGTACAGATTAAATACAATTAATCAGCTTGATGATTGCTGCAATGTGGTATAATGACATTGTTAACCAAGTAATCTAGGTAAAATCCAAATGCACAGTTTTACATTTCAACTGTAATGTTATGTTATGTAACTATACATAACAAGGAATGCAGTTATGTGTGGACAAATTGCATATAAAGTAATGATATAATAAACAACACTACATCTATATAGTATCTGTATCATAGCCATCTAATCTGAACTGTAACTTCCTATAAGATATTTATTATTTACCTTCCTATTAATAATAACTTCATATTACTCACATCAAGGCAATTGGTTTTATTAATGCCATTAAGCATGTTACCATTCACATGTATGGATCATTGTGAGTTCAAGTTTATGAACTAGTGTTTCATGTATCATTGTCAATGTTCTTAAGCTATTACATTCACGGTTGGCTTACTCTAGTTCATTAGACCAAGGCAATTGGTGATTATTTTATGAACAACATTTTAACGTACGTAGTGATGACAAATTTAATAGTTCCATTTACGTAGTATTGTTATTATTTTTTATTTGTATTACGTAATATTTTGATATACACTAGTAAAATATGAGATTATATACGTTCCATGTACCATAAACACGTTTCTATCCCGTATATTGACTTACCTCCAATCACTCTAATTAGAATAATTCCTTTGTCATATAAACGATCATTGCATAACTCGGACACAACTTTTCTCCCGTCTCTAAAACAATTCACAGCATTACATATATGAATGAGATGATATCTCTCTACAGTATTGCGGTCTTTCAGATAATCATTGATTTCCTGTGCATGGAACTCAAAGCTAACATTGTCCCACTTGCTCTCATGAGACTGAACCAAAACTTTGAATTTCTCTAGAGGTTCCTTCGCTGGATCAACGACGCAATATCGTACTTTGGAATATTTCGCCACCAGTGCATTGATAAAGTATTCATCTGCACTACCTAAAAAGTTACACGTACAAATGAATGTTAAGATCAATTATATCACTGTTACAATACCGTTACAATGACAAAAAACAACAGTAGGACGAACAATAAGCCTTTAAAAATATACACCTACCATTTCCAGATCCAATGGCCAGTACATGCACTTCCGAAGATAGGTGTATTTGCATATTGGCAATCAGGTTATTTGCTTCCTCTTCATAATTATCCTCCCTAGTTTTGAGCCCATATTCCATTGCGGTTTCAAACCTATCGTGGTACTCCTTCAGAAATTCGTTTAGCTCCGATATATGTTGAGCCATTGAAATAAATTTCAGTTGAATGAGCTTGAAAACAGATGAACATTTAGTAGTCATAAAATAGCCCTGTTATTATCGAAACTAAAAATTCCTTCCTTTACGTAATGTCCAACAAGGTGAGACAACTTGAAAAACAGACTCCTAGCTAAATGGCTGCTGTTTGATAGGAAAACAGAGAGTACTTTTCTATTATATACTGAGAAAACTACTTGTGGGGTATAGGCTCTTTTACAGAATCAGATAACAAGTCAGTTACTTCGTGTTGAAAAGGACGACTACTTTATTGCGTGGTCTAAACACTACTGCCCCATGTCAGCCTTGACTCACACATGTGACAAGTTTACATTCTGGCGGGCAATCTCAAGTCACACTAACGTGATAGGCTATAAACTATAGTGACGTAAAGTAAGATAAAGAATATCATGCGGTATCCCCAAATATGTTAATCCCAGAAATCTGCTCCCAACACTACTCCCCGTTAGTGAACTTTTACAACAATAGAGATGGGTCAAAAAGTGGTATTACTGGAAAGAACAGTACAACAAATGTTGGCGGGAAATTTAGCTATTCACATGAAAAACATCACTATGCGTAAGTTCCTATCGAAGAAGGAATGATTTCAAGCTTGAACCATTTCCATACTTTTCGTACGTTGACCTCCTAATGCAAATTGTACGAGACAACTAGGTCAAATTCTGAATTTTGTTTCAAACAATCATAGTATTATAGGGTTTTAACATACATCATCAGATAAATAACTATTCTTAATATTACTGTTATTATTACTGAATACTGACTTATATGAGACTTTTAATGAATAATTGTATTTTATTTTAAAGGATCAATACTGTAGAAAATACAAAGGGCACATAGAATATTAAAGGTATATTAAAGACGTAAACAGCGCCACAGGGGTAAAAGTTTTACATTGTGACCAGCAGGATTAAAGATTTTAATATACATTCTACCAAATTTCATATTGTTGTGGTTAGTTTTTTTGTATTTAAACAATATTTCATTTTAATAATATAAACATACAACACAAAATATTACATAACATAGTGGTATAAGTGAAGAAAATTAAGAGAAAGAAAAAAGAGGAAAAAAATGTTGTGGTTAGTTGTTCAGTTAGTAGTGAATGTGTATTAACAATTAGTATCTGCGAATTATATGTGCATGATTTGGGAATTTGACATGTGCATAACTAATGAGGTCACATGATTTGCTAACAAGTATACTTATGTGCACAATGAGTATTTAGTAGTAGTAAATGTGTATCTATATCACATCTCATAGAATTAGATATGTACATAATTAATGAGGTCACACGACCAGCAAATTGTTTATTCAAATCGATTTACCCCTGTGCACAAAACGAAGTTAGTAGTAAATATGTTCCTATAACAGATCTCTCGAAATTAGATATGTTCATAATTAATGAGGTCACATGGCCTTCTAAAAAATTATGTAAATCTCCTCACCTATGTGCACAATATCCATTGAGTAGTAAATGTTTATATATATAACAAATCTCTGGCAATTAGATAAGTGCGTAATTAATGAGATCACATGACCAGACATCCTCCCCTCCCAACTAACCCTTTACAATGTTACACATCGTCTGATTGGGGCCTTTCCAACAGGCGCATCCAATCAAACTTGTCCATTTGTTTAAAATAAAATACGCATTCACCCAGGCTGACCCCGCACGGGTTGGTGGAGTCGGCACCAACAAACCGTGCGATTCGGACCAGACAAGTTTATTGAAATATCTTCATTTATGTGCACAATATCCTGTTGTAAATGTAAATTTATAATAGATCCTTGGGAATAAGGTTTGCGAATAATTAATGAGGTCACCTGTCTAACTATAATGCTGCATCCAAATAAACTAAAACAATTCTTCACACAATATGGATACAATTAATAATACACATTAACTGTGTATCTGCCAAGAATAATTGGAAATTAAATTTACTTTAAATGTCCATAAAATTGATCATGTAAATGTGAATATAAACATATGCACAGATCAATTAGAAAATGAATGAAAATTCTAAATTAAAATGCAAAACTACCAAATTTGATCATCTGCGATATTAATCATGCATCTGTGCCATAAAAATTGGTGTATGTAAACATATGAAAAACACGCCAAATTTAAATTGCCACTGCTTGTTTTTGCTTCAAATTGTGTCTTTTTTCCTACCTTTGTAAGACGAACGTCGAGTAGTTTAATAATTGGCAGCACACAATATTATAATGTACACTCTATACGGCCTACATACAATTTGGTGACCTCACGATGACCTTTAATCGGGATCGTTTGTTCGGCTTATAATACTTGCTATACACAAATTAAAGATACTTACAGTAAGGTGGTACAAATCACGTGATAATATAATGATAACCACGATAATAAATCCTAGCATATTAAAGAGAACGATCATATAGTATGGGTGGGTCATGCCAGAGGACAAGTTGAAACGTGGTCATCTGACTGATCTAAACTAAAGCAGCTCGCTTGATTTCACTATCGGTTATTTCGTTCGTCGTGGTGTCAAAGCGAAACGAGGGAGCAACAGTTCCATTCTATGCGAGTTACCCTATTTTACCGACCTGAAATCAGGTCGGGCCGTAAACAGCCGTTTTTTTTTTATTTTCGCCTGAGGTTTCTACCTTTCTACTGTCGATGGGTCCCGAAACTATTTCCCTAATTATTCTGCGGACGATAGTCCGAAATTGGTCGAGCGAGCGAAATCCCCGTGTTTGCCACCATCTTGAATACATTATCGTGACGTCACGACGTGTCACAGTCTCGATCAGATCTCGCCTTGATGTCCAGGAAATGGGTCATCCCCGTTCACGCATAGTTTATTCCAGAGGGAAGGTATTACTAAAAACTGGGGATTTTTTGTTCCCTTTTTTCTTTAATAAATGTAAAATGAACTGTAATGTATTGAAAATAATAAATAAAGTAATTTTAAACATAAAACATAAAACAATAAAATCAACACCCTGCCTGGAGCCTGTATAAATATACCAATTATAAAACTTTCTTTGTTAAATAAATAAACTGTATGTTTATAGTGATATCAGTTAATGACCTGATACCACTCGTTTTTATACTGCTTTACTGGTCATTTATGTTAGATTCAGATGTGTACCAGAAAGGTGCATGGTGATTTTCGGGGCCACTTCACAAGTGCGAGTATTTTGATATATAGCAACAATAACAGAAAATATCAAGAAACAAATCTTCAAAGTGCTGCATTTTGATGTGAGTGATGTTTTTGTAGTTGCTAAACACCCTGACAGGTAATACGATTATCAAGTCCCTAAATAATGTATTGAATTGTAGAATTATTGAATTGTTATGCATATTATTGTATAGGCCAAACATATACTTGAATATGAAAAGTGAAGTAGGCATGAAATTCAGTGAGGAAATTGCCTGGTATTTAGATGAAGTAAAAGCTAAAGGACAAAAAGCAAGAAAGGCAATTATATATGTCAGGTTGGTATCACTGTAATATTTAATCGTGTTTTGTTTAGTGTACAATCATCAAGGAACAAATTTGTTTGTAAAATTATTCTGATTTAAAATTTGATCATCCTCGTATATGGTTTATGATGAAAAAGTTATCGAAACTAGCATACTACTGCTATATCAAACTTGAAATTTGTACATTTAGCATTATAGTTGTTTTATACTTAATAAAGTTATTTTAACATTAGTTGAATTTGCCTTACAATATTTGAGGATAAATACTTCTAGCCTGATCAGATGCTTATTATTTCATTGATCTTTCTGCCTCATACATAGCAAACTGGAAATGTTACGTTGTTTTTACCTAGATGGTCAGTAGGTGATCATGAAATTGATTGGCTGATAAATATAGCAAAGTGATAAGCCACATTGTAATATGTCATGCGACTTATGTACCTGTCATTACTGCACATGCTGCTGTGTGTGCAGACAATTGTGTCCATGTCAACACAAGCTTTAGCTCTCTTTTTTTGCAAACAATGAGAGGTGTAGTACTTATGCGATAACTCTACGCCTGAACGGGGACTAAAAAGAATATTCATAATCTGCAACTTAACATGCATAACCATGCCACATTTTCCAAACAAACAAGATGGATGCCAGTCTGCAATCTTTGATTTGATTGTAAAACAAACAATCACGGACATGTAATCTAAAATGTACAAATTTGAATGAAAATGACAAAGCACGTTCATGATACAATATTTCCAAAAAACAAGTAGACCGTCAGTCGGCTATCTTCGATCCAAATGCGAAACGAATCGCCAGACATGTATCCTAACATATATAAGGCATGTACCAAATTTGAACGAAAACTCACAAAGCATGCATAAGATATCACATTTTCAAAAAACAAAATGGCTGCCGGTCAGCCATCTTGGATTGAATCAGTGAACGACATGTGCATATATCCCAGATGGTTCTGATATATGACTCCGGACATACGGACTAATAAGTATATTTGAATCAGCTACAAAAATTCTAATACAATAGAATCATTCATTCTCACATTTTGTCTGCAGCCACTTTTGTACATCTGAATAGAATTGAACCCTTGTATGATATTACATTTTTATCTTCTTCTTAAATGAAGTATCATATACATCAATATACCATATGCTGGAGTTAATTTTCCGCATGTACCATCTTCTTGGCTGAAAAGGATAAAAATAACTTATAATAAGTATTATACCACTATAGCATGCATACCAAAAATAGCATGCATAATATAGTACATTTACTGAACTGTATAGAATAACTGACAAACGATATATCAAATTAAAATGTACTCACATATCTACTATATCAGAAAAAATCCCCAGTTTTCAGTAATACTTTTCCTCTGGAATAAACTATGCGCGAACGGGGACGTCTCATTTGCTGGACGTCAAGG